CTGGACCGTAAGGACTCGAGACCAGGCAATTCGCTCGCGGACGCCCATTTCTGCATCTTCTTCGCTCATGTTCTCTAGTGGCAGAAAGCTTACTAATGATGAGCATGTTTCGTAGAGTTGGACCCGGGTGACCAATAGGATGTCTTTTTGCCGTGGCTAGGCAAGGCCAACTGATCATTGGTAGCTCGTGCACCGATGATGCCATGTTCCCGTGCGTGTGCCGTGACAAATTGAGGCTCTGCTGGGACATTGCGCAGGCCACCACGCTCGCTGTAGGAGCTGCAGCAAGGTACGGCTTGAGGTCCAGGTTCACGAATCAGAAAGATAAAATGCTGTTTGCTATCCATGGGCGTCACAAAAGATGAGCGGAACGGGAACTCCAGGTGGATCGGGAAGGGACGGTTCCGCTGACCTTCATCGGGGGGAAATGTCCATGTTTCTGTCGTGGCGCAAGAAGAAGCCCTCGGGACCCTCCATTGTGCGAAAAGGGACCTAGGACCCGCAGTTGCCGCTAGATGGAAATCGGCCTTTGCGGATTTGCGCCCGTTGACTAAGGCCGTCCACAAGTCCCCTGTCATCCCCTTTGTCCCCGAGCTCCAGTTCACAGTTACACTTCTAAGATCTGGCCAGTTGAGAAGGCCAAAGCGTGGAGACTGTTCACTGGTGCCTATGGTGTCCGCCTTGCAGCAGGCTCAGCAATTTACTTGGGCGCGGGATGGTAAGCCCCCCTCGGAGGAGGCATATCCGTTCGGGGCCGATGCGGCTCCCACGCGTTCCTTCCAATGGCTCAGGAGAGTGCGGTACTCTGCGCATGTCATGCGGAATGGACCCCGTCAACTCCTGTGGCTTCTTGACGTTCTGGTTGGCAAGGCCGGGTCGTGGGAGACGTCAAAACTGTTCGCCCCTCCTTGGGTGGCGGATTCTTGTCCAAAGGCTTCCTTATAGCGTGTTGCCGCGGCTGGGGGAAGGCCAACTGCGTTTCTGGCTGCTCTCCCTGCCGCTTGCCTCAGTGCTGGGCCTTGGAATCGGGGCCAATGCCACCTTCTGGAGTGGCGGAGGAGGCTGAGGAAAGTGGCTCATTAAGCCAAGATCCCAAGGCCCCCTTTCGGTGCGAGCGTTCCAATGTCTCAGGAAACCCTTGCCTGTTACGAATGCCGGATGTTTGTTGCTTCAGCTCAAGCACGAAAGACGCATGTTGCCAATAATCACCCTTCTCCTGATGCCCCGCAGAGATACGCAAGAGGAAGTGTACGCCAAGCTTGTTGCGTACAGTTCCACACCCGCCTTCGCTTGCTGAGGCATCTGAGGCATAGCAGCCAGAAGTGCATAGGAGCCTTGAAGAGTCTGAAGTGCCCTCCCATGTCGGAAGCGGTGATTGTGGAAGCTAAAGAGGCCGACACCAAGGAGAGTCAGAAACTCAGGGCTGCGGGACACTAATTACGAGGAGACATCCTTGCTTCCTTTCTTCAGGCTTCCTGGCACCCCCCCTCCCCGCGGGCCCTGTTATGGAAGCCCTCGACCCCCGGGCTGTGGGTCACGATTGTGTCGTGGAGATGGTCTCTGGTGACCTTGACACTGGGCCGCCGATCCCGAAGGATCGCTTCGGGGCCATCTTCTTCTTGCACCTGTTTCTGGGCCACCGTCGGGAGTTCGATCTGCAGCACTGGGTACTGCGAGCGGCCCCATCACTCGACCCAGTTGGGTGATGTCTATAGCTGTTGCCAACGATAGGGTGATTGGGGACCTTAGAATAGAGAGTTCGGTGCAACTCTGGTTGACGATGATCGCACTTGGCCACGTCATAGGCCTCATGTGTGGCCCGCCTTGTAAGATGCGGTCTACGGCCAAGTGGGCCCCTATCGGGGTACATCGCGGGCCCAGGCCCCAAGACATCCGGCTGCTTCAATTTGTTCGATGCGTGGGCCCCAAAAGCCTGGTCGACTTTCCTTGGGCCGGCCTGTCGACCTGAGTCATTTACTGATGGTCCTGAGGCCCGGCGAAAGCCCCTGGGGGCCGAAAACGGCAAAAACCCACTGCTGCTTTATTTTTTTCAGAGCGTCGGGTCTCTGGGCACACTCGATCCCAGGAGCGGCCGCGTGGGGCGTTGGGTCTGTTGGCCTCGGAGCGGCGGCAAAACTCGCCGTCGGCAAACGAGCTGCTCCAGACACCTGCCCGCTTCTTGCTTGCTGGCCCTGCCGCGGCAGCGTGCGGCACCATGGAGCACGGGCAGGTGCTGTGAATAGACGAGCGCGTTCCACTACTCGCAAAGTAACTACTCGCAAATGGCCTGGATCCGCCGCGGGGGATCTACGATACGTTACATCGGATCATACATGTGTTTTTGAGACGTTTGCGAGTAGGCACTTTGCGAGTAGCGGAACGCGCTCGGTGAGTGAAGGGAGAATTGCTGCCTCCAGCTGGAAGCTCCCAAAAGTAGTTTGGATCATGTCTCCCCCCTCGGTCGTCTCCATTGCGTCTCGATCAGTGCATGCTTGGGTTTAGGCACCTGAAGCCGACCAGGATCCTACGTGTGAGTGGACGCGGGCGGTGTGACCATCCAGGGGGGCACCTTGCGGCGGTTGGGAGGGAAGGAACCAGCCACGTTACGTACAGTATCCGTCCGATCTAAATCGTTTCTTGGCTTGTGCTTTCCTGGAAGACCTGCCTGTGGGGTGTCCTGCAGGGGCTTCAGAGTTGGAGGTCCCAAGGTCAGCGGCTGGATGCTTTTTTTATGCCCCTGCGTGACCCGTCACCTGAGCGGCTCGCCCCTTCCGCCCCCTCATTCGGCCGCTTCCGCTGCCTTTTTCCGCCCCCTCCAGCACGGCGGCGCAATTCGCTACAACGGTACCCCCGTTAACTAGCCCGCAGACGCTGTGGAATTACTCTAGAGTTTCGCCGCTTCGCTCATGGGGAAGCTCTACGAGTCATTTCACGTCCCTGATACACTACACCTGCGGCGCGCGCACAATCCATGTCCGGACTCGCCCTCGAGATGTAGCAACTCGTTAGCAATGGCGCCGTCGCGGCTGCGTTCGGCGGTAGCCTTCCGCCAGCGCAGTTACCTTGCCGAGCCGCCGACGCAAGAAGTTGTACGCCCGTGGACCCCTTCTTCGACCTCCAAGCCCAGCATGGCTGTGCACTCGGAGGCGCGGCTCTCCCGCCCGCTCCGGGTGCTCCTTGCAGCCCACCTGTGGCAGCCTCGGCGACATCCACTTGGCAGTGCGCAGAAGCAGGAGGAAGACAAGGACAAGGATATCCGCATAAAGGGGGTGCAGCGTCCGAGCACCTACTCAGGTGACCTACGACCTTCTTTCAAGATCCCCCGATTGGTTGTGCGACAGCCCTGCCTTCTCACTAGGGCCGGCAGGGGGCATACCCCGTAGCTCAAGGACCGAGCTCCGAGGTGGCCCCGTAAGAGAGGCTCGCTACCTTACATCACGAGTCCCTGCGGGTCAGTGTGGGGGGAGCGGCTGCTGGCCCAGCAGGAGGAGGAACAGGAAGAGGAATGAGGTGCTCTGAAGGCCACCTGGGCATCCCTGGAGATCCTGGGAGCACCTTGGCCCAGGGACCCCTCTGGCAGCACCCAGCGCTCCTCGCGGCCGTCTGCTGGAGTTGGACCGTTCCTCTGGCGGTGTGCTCATCGGATAGCCGCTGGGGCTTCACACTGTCGGCGCCCGAGGACGGGAGGGCCCCGACCCCAGATCCCTCGAGTCGTGAGAAAACATGACGACGGAAACCTTTGGGTGATTTTCAGCCTCTGCTGGACCTTACCGGGCCTCGCGACCAGCAGAAAACAACTCCGGGGTACGGGTCGAGACCTCTGGGGTTAGGTCGGGCATGCCCCCCTACAGGCGGATTTTGACAGAAAAACAAGAATCGAGACATGTTCAACAAATGCAAAAAATACTCAAAACAAAAGTCCCTGACTAATTTTTGGCTATTTTGCATTTTCCTCCTGTAGAGGGACAGGCCCGACTTAACTCTCCGGGGGCGACGTTCTGAAAAACCAGTCGCGAGGTGTGTCTGGGAAAAACTCGCATCGTCGGATGTCTAGGCCCCTCTCCCTCCTCCTTCCTCCTCCTCAACCTCCTCCTCCTCCTCCTCCTCCTCCTCCTCCTCCTCCCTTCTCCTCCTCCTCCTCCTCCTCCTCCTCCTCCTCCTCCTCCTCCTCTGGAGGTCGACGTTATGACAAAAAATCATGTCGTCGGGGGTGCCTGGGGCGTGAGAGCGCGTCCGTCGACGAGCCGCGGCCAACTCCCACCACCCTGACCCGCCACAGCCGCCCTGCGCTCGGCTCCCGAGGAGCGAGGGGGGCGGGGCAGGGGCGGCGAGGGAGAAGCGAGGGACGCACCAGGAGGCTACTCCAAATCCCTTACCCTGACTCCGGATGCGCCCTACTTCGGCTTTTTTCCAACTTAAAATTGCGTTGGAAATCCACCTAGAAGAGGCCGAACAAGTAGGGCGGAAATTGCTGCACCCAACATAAAATAGGGCGGAAACCCGCAGAAACAGCAACAGAAAAGTAGGGCGGAAATTGGCATCAGCGGGGCTTGAAAAGTAAGGCGGACATTCCAAGCCCTACTTACGAATTTCCCCAAAGTAGGGCGGATCCGGAGTCAGGGTATTCATCGTCCCCCGGGTCCGGTTTTGTGTAAGGCGCCTCTTTTGTAACCGCGGGGGGTCCGGTTTATCAGGGCGCTCTCTTTGGATTGGAGCTTAGGGGGTCCGGTTTAGTACGGCGCCCCGTCGAAGAGGGGGTCTGGAACATAGTAGGTCGCATTTGGAGGGGGGGTCCAGTTTTTAGGGGGGGGGTCGATTAACAAGGGATTTCAAGTAATTCTGGAAATCATTCGCAAGAGCGTGTAAGGACTTCGGGCCATTGGACCCGCTGGTTCAGCAGCCATCAAGCCAGATTGAACCAGATGGAGTCCGGGATTGAAGTGGATCCCGCGAGATTAGCCGGCCAGGATGGTTTTCGACTAAGGATTTATATACCAGAGCCGATGCTGAACTTCACCTCCCAGGAGTTGCAACCAAGGGCATGGGAGGCGAGGGAGGATATGCGGGAGAGATGTGGAGGGGATGCGGGGAGGCCGCCCAGCTCGTTTTTTACCGCCGCCTGCCATCAATCATCGAAGGAGTCGAAGAGGAACGGGTGCGCGAGGGCCGCCTTGGCCGACGGCCTGCGCGACGGCTCCAGGATCAGCAGGGAGGCCGAGAAGTCCGCCAGGGAGCTGTGCTGGGACTCCACCAGCTGGCTCATCTTCCTCTGGCTCTTCACGTGCGTGTCGGAGGCGGGGGACTTGGCCAGCTCCGGCCAGTGCAGCCGCCAGCGACCGGAGCCGGGGGGGTCCATCACGAGGAACTGCTCCTGCCTGGCCGTCGTCGCCGCAAGGCTGAGCATCTGCCCTGGGAAGGTCTCGATGGCCCTCTCCATGAGCGCCAGGTGCTCCAGGCTCTCGTGGGTGCGAAAGAGCAGCTCTCCCGTGTAGAGTTCCATGAGGATGCAGCCCGTCGACCACAGGTCCGAGCGCTCGTCCCAGCCGAGCGCCAGGATGACCTCGGGGGCGCGATACTGCCGGGTGTTGATTATAGTCGAGTGGTGCTCCAGCTCGTAGGTCGCGTTTCCGAAATCGATCAGCTTAATCTTCGTGCTCGCTGGCCGGACGTACGGCGCAACCGGCGCGTCCCGCCTCTTGGCGCGCGAGTCCCTCCAGGCGGCCTCGCGGGGAAACGTCGAGGGCCGAGGGGGCTCCTCGGACTGGAACAGCACGTTCTCCAACTTCAGGTCGGTGTGAGTGAGATTCAGGTCGTCGTGCAGGAACGACAGCGCCTGCAAGCACTGGCGCGCAATGTCCTGGATGTCCTGCGTGCGCACAAGCACCCACGCGCACACGCGAACCCACGCGCGCACTCACGGACAAACGACGCCGCGTGCGCACACACACGGACACACAGACACACCGACACGCAGACACACCGAAACACAGACACACAGACACACACACAGACACACACACACACAGACACACAGATACGCAGACACATAACACACAGACACCCCCGCACCCGCACCCGCACCCGCACCCGCACCCACACCCACACCCACGCCCACGCACACGCCCACACCCACACCCACAACCACACCCACACCCACACCTTCACCCTCACCCACACCCACACCCACACCCACACCCACACCCACACCCACACCCACACCCACACCCACACACCCGCAAACCCACACACTCACACACACTCACGCACTCACGCACTCGCACACTCACACACTCACACACTCACACAATCACACACACAACCACCCTTCGGGTGATAAGGAGGTTGGGGGGTGGGGGAGAACGAATCAACTGCTTGCAAACGCGATGGTTGTGATGATGACGATGCTGGTGACGCGCCCTCGAATTAGCGACGACGCGTGAGGACGATGTTGCGCTGCGACTTAATGTCGCTATCGTCCCCGCTGTCGATCTCACTCGATCGATCCCACTATCGACCTCACGGCCAATCTTAGCACCAATGGATTCAGCTATCGGTCCCGTTGTGTTCGCCCCGGGGGAGCTCGCCCGTCCCCGCGAGATCTCCGCACGACCCGGGGGACGCCGCCTCCATGCGCATCCGACAGCGCGGGCACAACCAATGTCACAGTCAACCTCACTTAGGGGAACAAAAAGTGACATGAACATAAAAAACTCGGAGGTCCGCGCGGATTTCTCGGATCGGCGCTGGGGCCCCCCGGCGGCGCCTCGGGCGCAGCCCCTGGCGCGCTCCGCGCGCCAGGGAGGGGGGTCCAGCGCCGATCCGAGAAATCCGCGCGGACCTCCGGGTTTTTATGTTCATGTCACTTTTTTGTTCCCCCATCACTGTCGCTCTCACTTCTGCCCTCACGATCCGTCCCATCCCAGCGATCTCACGGTCGACCTCGCTGTCGCCTTCGCTGTCGATGCCAGTGCGGGGCAAACCCGTGGCCACCGCCCGCCCGCCGCCGACAAGAACACCGGCGGGACACCAACCGGATACCACAGGACACCACAGCGGAACACCCCGGGCCACCGCGCGCCCGCCATTGCCAGCCTGGAGCATATCCCTATCCCTTTGCTGGGCATCTCCTCGTCACGATGCCAATCTCAGGGACTCCCTCAGTTTTTCAGGGCGAATCCCTAAGATTGTCATCGCATCGCCTTTTGGCGTGTCAATCTTAGGGATAGGGATACGGTCGAGGCTGGTGACACCAGGGGCGGAAGGGCGGTCCACTGCATCCGAATCGCCCTGGCGACGGCGGGGTCACTCCTCGCGCGCGCCCACGCAGCTCCGCCTCGCCCGCGCGACACGGACACGGACACGAGCACGAAACCGATTTCCCGGTGGGGGGCTCTCCGTTCCACTGCGATCTCACCCCCCCAACCTCCGATACACACAGTGAACACGCGTGCGCGTGCGCGCACAGTCACCCAGGCAAAGCATCCTAATGACAGGAGGCCTGTGCTCCACCATGGCTCCCGCAGTTCCCAATGATTCATGTGTGTGCGCGTTAAATGGATATCGTGGACGTGGAAAGCCAGACGACTGAGGACCCCATGGTCCTCCCACAATTTCTGGATCTCGGAGGCCTGACACGGTGACATGATCGTGCCACCTCTGTCTCTTTATGGGTATAATACGCGTTGCATGATGAGAATGTCCAAGGCTTTACCACCTGTTCTGAACCTGGGGGGCTGGACATGTTGAGTCGCTGCCGCGACAGCAATGACATTCAATCGAACACATCATCCTCGGATCCTTTTCGAGCTTGCTCGCAAGACACGTGGCTGGGCTGCCACCTTCTTCAAGCTCGATTGTTTAAGGTCTGTGAGCGCTCTCTCGGGGCTGCCAACGTCGCCGTGGCCCGCGCTATGTCAGGGCTGCCAAGGTCACCGCGCGGCGGGCGCAGTCTGCAGTGGGGGAGGGTACTCCTGCAAGGGGTAAGGGCGCAGGAGAAATAAATGAAGGCGGGAGATAAGAGGACGATGACGATGATGAAGAGGAGGGCACAAGGAGAGACGGAACGAGGGGAAGCTGAACCGTGGGGATCGAGGCGGAGCGAAAGATACCGTCTGTCCTGGACCCAGAAGCCTCGGAACCGGTTCTTCTTCAGGAAGTCGTACAGGGAGCCACCCAGCACTTCGAAGGACATGCAGAAGAAGCGCTCCTTTGTGGAAGGCTCCCACTGAATAAGTAAATCTTGACGTTTCCCTCCACCGATCTCCTCCCCGCCCTTGCCATCGCTCGGGCGTTCATTCCCCGTGCATTTGTCGGTTTCGTGCGTGCTTATATTCCGCAAGGTGATCCGAACTGCTCCGAGATGGTATAGATCTTCCGGCGCTGACCTCGCCGGGAAAAGTGCACACGTCCGAGCGATGCCAAGCGCCTCCTGCTCCCAGACTCGGGGTCGGCCAAGAAGGGGGTGTCCAAGGGGAGGGGCGCAAATCATGGCCGGCGTGTGCGCGGCCCAGGGGGGGCGGGCCCAGGACGTAACTAATGAAACAAGAAGAGACGCCATGGAATCTGGGGAGATATCATGGCCCACGCCATGATCTCCACCCCTCCTATTTGGACGCCCGAAATGGGTACGGAAAAAATTGGTACAATGCCCAACAACACATGTTGTCCCAAACCAACAGCGGCCGCTGTTGGGCAGGCGGCCTTCTGTCTCAAATGGAGACAGGCCGCGGCGGCGCGGACAGCGAGTCCTGTTCAAAATGAACAGGAACTGCTGTTGGGCATTGTACCCATTCTTTCTGTACCCATTTCGTGCGTGCAGACCCTAGTCATCACCCCCCTCTTTGCCGCCCCCGATGGCAGCACGAGAAAACGCGATCTCCGAGGCCCGTCTCGGGCCACGGTAGTCCACAGCAGCTGCCAAAGATGAGCGGGGGAGGGGGAGGGGGAGGGGGAGGGGGAGGAGGAGGAGGAGGAGGAGGAGGAGGAGGAGGAGGAGGAGGAGGAGGAGGAGGAGGAGGAGGAGGGGGAGAAGGAGGAGGAGGAGAAGGAGGAGGAGGCACCCACCCCCGATCGTATCCTCGTTCTGGCCTCGTCTCAAGAGAAACAGGAAGGGGCAGG